ACGGGTCCAGGTATTCGTCGTCTCTGCATTACGGCTCGGTTCTTCAGCCCGCCGGGTTCTCCTCCGCCGTGTGCGCCGGTCGCAGTCAGTTTGGGAGCGGGTATCAGTTCGGACAGGGTCCCGGGTGTCTGTACCCGTCCTATCCGGGACCGGGCTCCGGTTTGAGCTCGATGCCCATCCCCGGTTCGGGCTCCGCGGCGAGGGCGCAGGTGTACCTGTGCAACAGGCCGCTGTGGCTCAAATTTCATCGCCATCAGACCGAGATGATCATCACCAAACAGGGCAGGTGAGAATGAGAAGTTGGTAAAGTTTCGCTTAAAAACAGAGCAGTTTAGAATATACATGCATGGTTTAAAATTGATATCAAACACAAAATAAGCAAAATCTAAGTTAATAAAATGATACGCCTGGTTTGAATAACGAATTCATTTTCGAAGGGTGTTAAAACGAACCCGAATCCGCTCTATAATTCGTAATTTGTGTTTTATGAACGATTCTGTTCGCAGGCGAATGTTCCCCTTTCTGAGTTTTAATATCACTGGACTGAACCTGACGGCGCATTATAACGTGTTTGTGGAGGTTATTCTGGCCGATCCCAACCACTGGAGGTTTCAGGGCGGAAAATGGGTCACCTGCGGGAAAGCGGACAACAACATGCAAGGTGAGGAAAGAGAGAAATAACCCCGAGATGATATGAAAATAATTCGAGCAACATGACAACCTGTTATATCTTCAGATAAATGACAAGTGTTTTTGTTATAAATGTAATTAAACATGCATGCAAACTGTGTAGGCTAATCAAATAAATCGAATATTTTTTTTTCTTTTGAGTGGAACTGCAATTTTAAATTGTTAAATTGCAAAGTTAAATATATAAAATCTTTGCTGGTATAGGCCTAATTGAAATGCATGAATATCAACGAATTTCTTCAAATAATTTGCCAGGAATTTTAAAACTAAAATATGACGTTACGATTTCCAAAAATGTTTCTGTATGCGCGCGTTTGTTTTATTTTACCTTAATCATTTTTTTTTCACCGTTTAACATGTCATTTCGTTTAAAAATGAGTGTGTTTTGCATTG